ATGTGGGGCGTCATCGGTGATTGGGAAGACGTGGGTGAAGAAATATTGCGGGGGCCTGGGCAGGATTGACTGAGTTCCGAGTGATCTCTGGAGGTGGCGACGCCGCGCGACCTGCCGACGGTGGTCCGCCGAGGTCAGCGGCGGTGGAGAGGCAGGCGGAGGGGCCTGGTGACGATGGGGGCCAGAGAAGTCAGAGAAGAAAGACACGGAAGCGAGGGTCCTGGGCTCGGATTGGCAAGCTTGGCCAGGCGACGAGGATATGAATTCCCATTTCGGAGCACGCAGACGATGAACAGGATCACGTTAACGCGGGTGAACTACTGGCCCGGTTTAGTATGATGTGGTTTGTCTCTTGAGCCGTGGAGTTGTTTCTCAGTGGCGTCGAAAGTTGGCCCATGGAGCTGTGGACTTGCCCGTGCGCGATGAATGTGGACCCCCCCGGACTTTTAATTGTGGGGCCATGCGAGCGACAGCCAGGCAAATGATCCAGGACGAAGCGGCTTCGCTGCAAATTGCGAGTGTGGCGTGCGCCGCCTTCATCAGGTTACAGTCCTTCAAGTCGCAGCGGTTTTGTCCGGAAAGAATGAGGGGGGTGCTCGGTCATGGGGTTCGGCGATTCAAAATTTCATTGGAAGTATGTGGGGCTTTTAGAATGAATGGGGCGTGCGTTCTCTTCGGACATCTCTCGGTGGCCTCGAGTCGATTCGCGCCGCCGACGCAGGGCATCTTATTTCGCGAAGGCGCGCCGGCGCGCGGTGGCGACTCGTGCCGCCCTGACTTGAAGCGGGCGCTGCATGGAGAAAGGGGTTTCCAGGAGACGCCCGCGCTGTTCCTGGCGAACGGCCCCGGCGTCGGAAGGTCCTCGGCGCTGGATGTCATGGGCAGCGCCGCGCCAGCGCGTCGAGCTTGATTGGGGGCGGGGGGGGCGGGGTGGGGCGTGGGGCGCGTCCGCGCCGACTTCGCCGAGCTATATTTGAGCGACTAGCGGGCCCGATGACGGCCGATGACCGGTTAGGGCGTTCTGTCAAAGCTTGCGATCTCGAGGTCGATTCGGTCAGTTGGAGCGAACCAGATGGAGGCGCAGGAATGTTCGAGGTCGGGCCAGAACAGATTCCGGTGTGGGGTTACTGAGGTTCGGCTCTTTGTCAGAGGTGGCATGCGTGGTTCATCGCGAAGATGGCCAAGTGCGTGCTTCGGGCTTCGGGCGATGTATCGGGTTGCGGGCTGGGTCCAGAAGTTGCGTTAAAGACTCGGGGGGAGTTGGTGGAGCAGTTCAGGGAGATGTCTATGATAATGTGAAGGAGGCAGAATGTTCGGCCGTTGCCGGCAGAGCCACCGCCGGTGCGGGGTGGGCCGATGTCCGCAAGGGCGACGAGGCCAATCCTGAGTGCAAAAGCAGGCTCGTGATCAAACAAATCAAGTGCAGCTCCACCAAAGACAGGTTCGCGGCCACCCCTCCATTGGAAACTCAGAAACTGTTCCTGTCAATTGCAGCTGCGGAGGAAATGGGGCACGTCCGAGGGTGGCATATGGGGGGGGGGGGGGCTCCAGCCAGGAATTTTGCACGTTAGCTGAGCATGCTGTTATGCCGAGGCCAAGGTTGCCCGAAGAAGATCGCGCGTCGGGCACGTGCGGAAGGCGACTAAAGTCAATGCGTGGTGCTCGAGGCGCCGCCGGCAACTGGGAAGAGCCTTGCGTGGATTTTGTGCGTGACGTTGGCTTTGACAGCGGGTGGGCGTCGCCGTGTGTGTAGCATATTGCGCGGCGGATCTCACTAGAAATACATGGGCGGCGATTTAATGTTATTGGCTTGCAGCGCAGACCCAGACTGGTTCGCAGGAGAAATGTTGAATACATGCTGAGTAAAGATTTGACAGGCTCGGGCCAGGGCCAAAATATTTGGAAACTGTAGGGTCCTCAACCGTATTGTGGAATGGGGCCGTGGTAGGTCGCGGTGTGGGTCGGATCATCGGCGCGCTGATATTCGCCAGAGGGTGGGCCTGGAGCAATGCAATGCGAGGCGTCCCATACGAGGTGGAAGGAACAGCCTTGCGGGGAAGAAGATGAGGGGCCTCTGCCCAAATTCGAAGTCAAGGAATGCCAAGCATCAGCGGCTCGAGCCGACAATTAGGCGCATGTCCTTGCCGACGCATTGTTTTCAGTTAGGGGGCTTGCGCGCTCTATGTCTGATCCGACCTGAGAGGCTGGGGGGGGCCTCGCTAAGCTGGGCAAGTACTCCAGTAACCGCGACAGGCGTGGATATCAGTACTTGTACCAGGGGCGCCCTCAGGAGCTAACGGTGAGAACCGCCGCTGACTGCGCCAGATGTAAGAGAACGTGTAAACCAACAAGTTGCAGGACCGTTGTATTGCGATCGCGCTCGGTAGAGTGGCTGAAGGCGATTCAGAGCGTATTATGGAATGGAGAATGGTGGGTTATTGGTGGTAGCGGTACACTGGGTGCTCAGACAATTCGAACGCTGATTGCAGCATCGCGTTGCGCCGGCGGGGGCTAGGACAAGTCAGGCGCGTCGAGGTCTGTCATCTTTGTCTGCAGGAGAAGGTGAGGCGAGGAGTCATCTTTGTCTGCAGGAGAAGGTGAGAGTGTCTGTAGGAACGCAGGAAAAATATGTGAGCAGGGATGACAGGTCAATGTGCGTCTACAAATCATATCGTTAGTGGAAGACACGAGCTGACATTTGCTGCAGAATTTTATCCTGGCCCGTGTTGCGGTTACCATTCCGTGCCATTCGGCTGGTGTGTTTGAATTCAGGATCAGTTGAGATCCAGGTGCTCGTCTAGCCCCACCATGGGACATGTCGACCATTCTGCAAAACTTGGTGTATTGCGACATTTCCGGGCGTTGTACCGCGTGTTCGGAGGCCCCCCTGCACGTGTGCGCCCAGAGCATCGTTGCCTTTTTGTCTGCGCCAAGTATGCCTTTATAGACACTGCGCACTTAGATTCGACACGGTGCGTCTCACAATCTTCTATTTCACACGTGTGTCCCGTTCTTTTTTATATTCGTTCTTCACCCGTCGCCCCATTCGATCACCATTGGCAGAAGGGGGGGTGTGAACCTGGCCATGCAACCGGGTGGGGATGTTAGTTTGGCCTGCAGGAAAGAACGACACGTCCGCGGATGCCATGTGAGGACAGGTCGTCTTTTAGAGTATGGCAGGCAGCCGTCGTTACCGACGCTGTTTGGGTCAAGTGCTGTTTTCATCAAAGGAATACGCGTCTTATCCTATTTCCAGGAGGAGCTTCGCACGGCGTCTCTGCTGCGCGCCAACTCGCGACCTTACTTGTGGAGTTTTCGTGTGGGAGGCCAGCGCTCGATGTCGAGCTTGCCATCGCTGCGGTGCGGCAGTGGTCGGTTCCACCCCAGTGCGCCTCGAGCAATCAAATGTCAGTTCCCCCTTGTTGCCCGACACGAGTGGGAGGAGTGCTTCTGGGCGCCCTTCCTGTCCCAGGTCCCGCCAGTCGCAAGGCGCGACAGGCGGGGTCCATAATCTGGGGCGGGGCAGGAGAATGCTGGAACTCGCTTAGTTACTACACGCTTACTTTTCCCTCGGCTATTCGTCCCGCGCAGACGACAAAACCACTTTCGTCGGTGACGTTTGCCACCGGACCCCCCGAGGAGATGGATGCTGCTCGCCATGGCCGCGGGACGGGCCCGTCTCGCGCGCAGAGTCCGCAGGGTTTGGGCTTCAGCTCTCTTCGCGGCCATGTCGCGACGTCTTTGGGACGGACAGCCTTCGCCTTTACCTCCAGCGCAGGTAGGGCTTCCGCCAGTTCAGCTGGGACCTGCGCCGCAGTGGCGAACCTGTTGGCCAGAGTGTCGGCCATGCCTTTCAGTCCGAGAAAGACCTCGGAACTCGGGCGAGGCGCGTCAGTGGTCCGCGGCAGTCGCATGGTTCGCGTCCCTCCGGACATGGACGTAGTGCCCCCCCCAACAGCTCTTGGGCAACGTACCGCAAATCAGGATTATAACGCAGCTTTTCAGGAGCTTTCTGGTCGAACCACAAACCAAACTCGCTGGACGTAAGCGCTGTCGGTCATGTGAGGTCGCGGCCGGCTGAAGCCCGCAACGCCTCCTGAAAGACCAGCAACTCTCCTCGGTTGATGCTTCGGGGGGAGATTCGGGTGGGAAGCAGGGCGGCCTTGTGCCTCTGGGGGCCCTGACCAGAATCCGCCGCGACCACCGCCCTATAAATGCTATAGTCAATTCGCAGAGTGAGGAGGGGCAACCTTCCCAAGGCTACCCTTGCATCCTTGCCTCCTCGGTCCAGCCTTGGCCACTTTGGTTGGCCGCGCCCCGCTCGAAAAACTTCGGAATGGCCTTCCAAGGGCCTTGCATCCTTGTCGTGCGTCTTTATGATGCGGGTCGACTGTACGGAGCCTCGAGCAGCTGGGGCGCACCCGCGGCGTTCTTTCCAAGACAAAACCCTCCCCTCTTCCCCGAACATGCCCCGGGTGAGGGTCGCAGGTGGGTTCCAGGATGGGCCGCGCTCGGAGCCTCCAAAGTTGGCTCCAGCTGCAACTCGATGAAGAAACAACGGCGTATACATAAACTTTTGGCGCTCCGCGCGGGTTTTTTGAATCTGCGCCCGGCCCCCCCCCTCCTGCCCCCCCCTTCCCTCTCCTCCTCCCTCCGACCCGCCTCCCATCCAGCCTCCCTCCCTCCCCCTCCTCTTCTTATCCCCCTTCCCCTCCGCTCTCCATCCCTCTTTTTTTCATCTTTTTCTCTTCCTCCTCCTCGTTTTCTCCTCCTCCTCCCTCTTTGTCTCCTCCTCTTCTTTGTCTCCTCCTCCTCCTCCTGCTTGGCCTCTCGTCGCTCCTCCTCCTCCTCTCTCCTCCTCCTCCTCCTCACCTCCTCCCTCCTCCTCCTCCTCCTCCTCCTCCTCCTCCTCCTCCTCCTCCTCCCTCCTCCTCCTCCTCCTCCTCCTCCTCCTCCTCCTCCTCCTCCTCTTCTCCCCTCACCGATTCCTCGGCGCCGAGGCGAGGGGCACCTGCAGAGGATAGAGCGGAAGGCGCGCGCTGCCCGAGGCCGGCGGTACGCAGGCGCCCCCCGGGGCGTCTGGAAAGGCCGCGCGAAGGGGCTTCTCCTCCCTCCCTCCCTCCTTCCTCCCTCCTCCCTCCCGCCCTCCTCCCTCCTCCCTCCTCCGCCTCCTCGTCCTCCTCCTCCTCCTCCTCCCTCCCGCCCTCATCCCTCCTCCTCCCCTCCTCCTTCCTCCCTTCCTCCTCCCTCCCGCCCTCCCGCCCTCCTCCTCCTCCCTCCTCCCTTCCTCCTCCCTCCGGCCCTCCCTCCTCCTCCTCCTCTTCCTCCTCCTCCTCCTCCTCCCTCCTCCCTCCACCTCCTCCTCTTCTCCTCCTCCTCCTCCTCCCTCCTCCCTCCCTTCCTCCTCCCTCCTTCTCCTCCTCCCTCCTTTTCTCCTCCCTCCTCCTCCTCCTCCTCCTCCTCCTCCTCCTCCTCCTCCTCTTCCTGCTTCCGGGACGTCCTGCACGAGTGGGGTCGTGGATGGCAAGTGGGGAAGTGCAGAGGAGGAAAAGGTGCCCATGCCTCTACCCTTCGCCCGTTTTCCCTCCTCGTTGGCCTGTTGGGAGGCCCTCGTCGCCACCGTTGGATTCGCCTCGAAATCCTGGTCAGAACGCAGCCCGGGAGAGATCCAGTGAGCAGCGGTATCGGTACCTTTTAGTTTCCCCAGAAGTGGGAGAGTAGGGGGCGGGGTGGAGTACGAGGGATGGGGGAGAATGAGGAGGAGGGGGAGTGGGAGGAGAGGGATGGTGGGAGGAGGGAGGGTATGAGCATGAGTATGACAATGTGACAGAGTCAGTGAATGCCAGCCAGCGTGAGACTACACATGCGGACATGAGACCGTTACGCGCTACCTCGCTGACGCTTCTCTGCTGTGCTTATATACCCTGAGGGAGGGGAAGAGGGAGGGGAAGTCCTGGAGGAATGAGGGCCGTGGAGGAGAGGGTCTTCCGAAGAGCATCAGATGGTATAAACATACGCCTTCGGAGGTCCGCGCGGCTTTCTTGGATCGGCGCTGGGCCCACACCTGGCGGCGCTTCGGCGCCGCCCCGGGCGCGCTCCGCGTGCCAGGGAGGGTGGGCCCAGCGCCGATCCTTGAAGTCCGCGCGGAGTTCCAACAGCTTATGCTTATGCAGTTGTGCGTTTCTCCAGAAAGGGGTCCTGGAAGTCTCGCGCCGCTGGGAGGGCTCTTGGTGCCCCCGCGGACCCCCCGTGGCCATCGACGGAGCTGCTCGGCACGGAGACCTGGCCCTCGGGAAAGCCCCTGGAGTCTGGGGCACCCTTTCCCCAGGCTCCCTCTCCTTCATGGCGACGAGAATGTCGGCGGGCGGCGCTGCGTACACGCCGCCCTCGCTCTCGGGGGGTGGGGCCTCTTCTTGTTGGTTCCTTTCGTTTCGCTGGCTGGCCTCTCGGAGGCCTCGGGTGCGCGTCATGGAGAGAGGGTCCGCCGTGCTGGTCTGCCGCGCTGGTCTGGTGGAGGCCATCTTGGGTATCCTCTCGAGGGCCTCTTGGGCCGTCTTGGGGGCTGCTTTGGCCGTCTTGAAGCCATCCTGGCCCGTGCTGGGCCCCTCTTGGACGTCCTGGGAATCTTTTGGGACGCTCTCGTGGACCTCTTGGGTCGTCTTGGGGCCCCGCCATCTTATGGGCTTTCCCTGGGTCCCGTTAGGAGAGCCTCTTGGACCGTCTTCTGGGCCTTGTGCATCTTGATGCCATCTTGGTCCTCGTTAGGGGGCATCTTGGATATCTTGGGGGTGTTTCGGGACGTTCTCGGGGTCTATCATTGAGCCATTTTGGGTTAAGTCGGGCCTGTCCCTCTACAGGAGGAATATTCAAAAACGCCTGGGGGCCCTCCTTGGCCATCTTAGGCCCCTTGGGCCGGGTGTCTTGTTGCTGTCTTGGAGCCGTTTCCGGGCCCTTTGGGGCCGTCTTGGGTCCAAGAGGGCCACCAGGGGCAAACCATCCGAAGGCTGCCGCTTAGCGACGTATGTTTGGCTGGCTTTTTCCCCAAACAGCTTGCTGAACGGGGTGCTGTCGTTCGGCGGCGAGCGAGGGGGGGAAGTGAGAAGTGGCGGGCCTTCTCAGAAGGCTCGGAAGTCCCTGGGCTTCTGAGAAGTTTTCTGAGCCTTCCCCGAAAACAGAAAATACTCCTCAGAAGGCGCGAGGGCTTCTCAGAAGTCCCGCCGCCTTCTGAGATGGCTTTCTCATTCTCATTTCCCCCCCTCGCTCGCCGCCGAGTCGTGGTAGAAGCTAATTCTGGCCGAGGGAAAGGGGGCCAGGGACATGACACAAATCTGGTGGTCCCGGCCGTTTCGCTTGAGCCATCCTCGAAACGCTCGTTTCGGAGTTGTCCGGGATTGGCCTTTTCGCCTGAAACATCCTCGACAATTTGGGCTCCGGGACGCCGCGCGCGAGGTGGTCCGGGCCGTTTTATTTGAGACATCCTCGAAACTCTAAGCCTCGAGATGCTGTGCGAGAGGTGGTCCGGCGCACTTAGCCCGAGGGCATCCTCCCAATTCTCAGCTCCGAGACGCCGCGCGCGAGGTGGTACGGCGCGTTTCGCCTGAGACATCCTCCCAATCCTGCGCTCCGAGCTGCCGCGCGCGTGGTGGTACGGCGCGTTTCGCCGAAGACCTCTTCGCAACTCTGAGCTCCGAGCTGCCGCGCGAGATGTGGCTTGGCGTGCTTCGCCTGAGATACATCCTCGCAATTCGGTGCTCCGAGCTACCGCGCGCGAGGTTGTCCGACGCGTTTCGCTTGAGACATCCTCGCACTTCTGAGCTCCGAGCTGCCGCGCGAGATGTGGTCTGGCGCCTTTCGCTTGAGACGTCCTCGCACCCCTCAGCTCGGAGATGCTGCGCGAGAGGTGGTCCATCTGGTTTCGCCTGAGACATCCTGGCAATTCTGCGCTCTGAGAAAATGTGCGCAAGGGTGTGAGGCCCGTTTCGCTTGAGGCATCCTCGCAATTCCGGGCTCCGAGATGCATCGGACGAGGTAGTCTGGCCCGTTTCGCTTGAGACAGCCTCGAAGCTCTTGGCTCCGAGAGGGAGGAGAAAGGAGTGAGGAGAAGCCAGACCCAAATGAATCATTTGATTACACGTCTGTTGTCAACTTGCGCTCTGGGAGGGGTCTGGCCGCCGCCTGAAACATCCTCGGAACTCTGAGCTGTCAGATGTCGCACGCGAGGTGGTCTAGACCCCCCTCATTCACCCTCTGCTGTTCCCGCCTCTCTCGCTCTTCCTCCCTCCCTCTCGCTCTGTTTCGTCCTTCGTCCCACACTCCTCCCATTGTTTCCTGCGTGCCCACTTCCTCGTCCTCTTCTTCTTCACTCCCGGCGCGCGGCCCGCCGGTCGCGGGAGCGCGCCTGGGGCATCTCGCGGGCGCGCGCGGAGGGGGCGCGCGATCCTCTCCAGACGGCGCCGCTCCGTGCCCGCAGGCTACTCGCCCAGCGCGGACGACGCCGTGCTGTTCTGCAGGCCAGGCGGGGGGAAGGAGGGAGAGGAGGACAGGGGGGACAGGGAGCGATGCTGCAGAAGTTGGCGGCGCCCACAAGGGCGTGTCGCGAGGGGGGCGGTCTTGCGGGAGGGCGGACGGGGCTTCTTGGATGGGGGGCGGGGGGGCCTCTTCGGAAGGCGGTTTTCTTTAAGAACGTATTGATTTCCCATCAAGTTTGTGAACAGTTTTTGCTGCCTGGCCGCCTTTGGGGAGGCTCTCGGGGGCGCCTTGGGGGCGTGTTTGGGCGGTTTTTGGGGGGCTCTTTGGGAGGCCTCCCGGGGCCCCTTAGCGCTATGTTGTATTTTCGTATATATATATATATATATATATATATATATATTGGTGTGTGTAAACATATAGATATACAGAAACACAACTATATATGCATATGTATACCCATATAGTTTGCCTACTCCAAGATCATACATATTATCTTGAATCGTACTCATCCGCATCCCTCTCTGAATTCATCCTTACAGCTTCATTCTGTCTGCGCGCCATCCTTCTCATCATTCATCCTGCTCTCTCTCGTCTTTCACCAATCCTCCTCGTCATCCTCCTGACGGACCCTCATTAGATTCCCCCTCCCCATCTATGTTCCCCCTTTCTCCTCACCCTCCTCCTTGTCGTCGTCGTCGTCGTCGTCGCCATCTTTATCCTCATCATCATCACCATCAGCATCATCATACAATTCATCAGCGTCATCATCATCACCATCATCACCACTATCGTCAATATCATCAGATCTTAAGCATCATCGCCATCCTCATCATCAGCAGCAACATCATCACCGCCACCAGCAGCATCATCAGCCTTACCATCGCCGTCTTCATCATCATCGGCATGATTATCAACATCATCAACATCATCATTGTCATGATCACCAGCAACACCATCAGCAGCAGCATCAACATCAACATACTCATCATCATCGCACGTATCATAATTATCATCATCTTCATCGCCGCTAGTATCAGCAGCATCATCACCAGCATCGCCACCATCATCATCAACATAGTCATCATCATCCTCATCAGTATCATCACCATCATCATCATCCCCAGTGTCATCAGCACCGTCATCATCACCATCATCGTCAACATCATCAGATCTCAATCGTCATCGCCATCATCATCATCGCCGTCATCGTCATCGTCATCATCATTATCATCATCATCACCATCATCATAACCATACTATTCATGGACGTCTTCATCATCACCATCGTCATCATCATCATCATCATCATCATCATCATCCTCAATATCATCCGATCTTGATCATCATCGCCATCGTCAACATCCTCATCATCAGCAGCAACATCATCACCGCCACCAGCAGCATCATCAGTCTTATCATCGCCGTAGTCGTCATCATCATCGGCATGATCCCCATCACCATCATCAACACCCCCATCGTCATAATCACCAGCAGCAGCAATCATCATCAACATACTTATCATCATCGCAAGCATCATCATTATTATCATCCTCATCACCGCTAGTATCAGCAGCAGCATCACCATCATCACCACCATCATTATCAACATAGTCATCATCCTCATCCCCGTCAAGTCCATCACCATCAGCATCATCATTACCACCAGTGTCATCAGCATCATCAACATCTTCATCATCATCGGCATCATCATCGCAGTCATCGTCGCCATCATCTTCGTATGCTTACCACCATCGTCACCATCGTCATCATCGCCATCATCACCATCGTCATCATCCTCCTCATCGTCATCGTCATCGTCATCGTCTTCGGCATCATCATCGTCATTAACATCGACATCGGCACAATCATCATCAGCATTATCGGCATCATCATCAGCAGCATCATAATCACCAGCATCATCGCCATCATCATCGTCATCATTATCATTATCATTGAGTCGATGGCCGTCATCATCACCATCATCGTCATCATCATCGCCGTCGTCATTACCATCATCGCGATCAGGTTCGGCACAGCCCTCACGGTTCGCTGCCCCACATGGAGCTCCATGCAAGGCCCCAGTGGCTTGGTCCACATGCGTCCCGCGACCATGTCGGCACAGCCCTCACACGGTTCGTGGCCCCGTAGGGAGCTCCACCGAAGGCCCCAGTGGCTGCGTCCACATGCGTCCCGCGACCATGTCGGCACAGCCCTCACACGGTTCGTGGCCCCGTAGGGAGCTCCACCGAAGGCCCCAGTGGCTTGGTCCACATGCGTCCCGCGACCATGTCGGCACAGCCCTCACACGGTTCGTGGCCCCGTAGGGAGCTCCACCGAAGGCCCCAGTGGCTGCGTCCACATGCGTCCCGCGACCATGTCGGCACAGCCCTCACACGGTTCGTGGCCCCGTAGGGAGCTCCACCGAAGGCCCCAGTGGCTTCGTCCACATGCGTCCCGCGCCCATTTCGGCACGGCCTTCACAAGTTTCGTGGCCCCATAGGGAGCTCCACCGAAGGCCCCAGTGTCTGCGTCCACGTGCGTCCGCGCCGAAGTGTTGCAGGCCTGGAAGAAACCGACGCAGCAATGCGAGAACACACGGTGAAATGAGCTCACGAAGGCCTGCAAGGACGCGCAGAAGGACGACCCTGCCCGCGCCGCCGCGATCCCTGGACCGAAGGTCGTATGTACTTTTGAATATATACATGAAGAGAGAGAAAGAGAGACTGAGAGGAAGAGAGAGAGAGAGAGAGGGAGAACGAGAGAACGATATATATAGAGAGAGAGAGAGGGAGAGAGAGAGAGGGAGAGATAAAGAGGGAGAGAGGAACAAGGATGATATATAGGGTATATATATGTATATATATAAAATCTAGATGTATGGAGATATAGACAGAGAGATAACTACAAGCACGGATTTATATGCAGAGAGCGAAAGAGAGAGAGAGAAAGAGAGAGGAGAGAGAGAGAGACAGAGAGAGTGAGAGATGCAGGAAACATGAGGAAAAGAGAGTCAGACTGAGAGAGGGAGGGAGAGAGAGAGAGAGAGAGGCAGGAGAGAGAGAACGAGAGAGTAAGTGAGAGAGCGAGAGGGAGAGAACGAGAGAGATAGAGAGAGAACACATGGTACATACATGTTTGAAGCATGAAAAAGGGATATCTGGAGAGAGAGAGAGAGAGAGAGGGAGAGAGAGAGAGAGAGAGAAGTAAAGGAAAGGGAAACATCTGTCGAGAGAGAGAGAGAGGGAGGAAGGATATATATATATATATATATATATATATATAGACATAATGATATATCAAGAGAGAGAGTAAGAAAACGATCTAGAGAGAAAGAGAGAGAGAAACGACATTTATAGCTAGTTGAATAGTATCGAAGTGCCACCAGCTCGCCTTGCACCGCAGCGGCAACGTGAACCGGAGGTGTGGCACGAGAGCAGCCCATGATTGAACTGCGGTCTCTCGTGTTGCGGGGCGCAGTGCAGGGAGTTCGAAGTCTCGGTCGACCCGCGCGCCTCCACCCTGAGCCTCCGCTTGTGCCGGGGAAGGGGCCGCTCTTCTGGAGCGTGCGCGTGGGCCGGGACGTGCCGGACCACCTCGCACCCGGCATTTTTGCACGGGTGTCGACTCGGCGGTTCTGTTTTCGACGCCGCGGCTGCGCGCCCGTCGCTGAAGTCTGTATTCTTGGGCCCCCAGATCCCGATCTGCTCCAGCCGCCCTCCCACTCCAAGAGTCGGGCTTCTTTCCCTCGTCTCTCCTCTTCAGGGGGCGGGCGGAAGCCCAATCTACTTCCAACGCCTTCCTACCTCATGTTTCTGGCTATGTCTTCCGACCGACGGGTATCGTGGTCCCGGGGTCGAAGACGCAGGGGCGCCTCACGGAGCCGGCAGCCCGTACGTGTGGTCGGGATTCGGCCATCGGACCCCGATGCAGCATGCTCATGCGTGCGGCTGCCGCCGCTGGTGGGCTCCTGGACAGGGTGATCATCAGTCCTTCCCCCCTCCTCGCTTCTGTGCTACATATTCTCTCCTCCAATCTTGAGGAGGAGGGTGAGGAGGAGGAGAAGGAGGAGGAGATGCCCCCCCCCCCCCGACCCCATCCTCGCTGAGGAACCGCACCGACAGTTCCGCCGCGAGCTCCACGTGCGACGCGTCCGAGTTCGGCTGGGTCGCCAGTCCCCCGACGCCGCGCAGCCGCCAGAGCACCAGCCAGAGCAGCAGTCCGCAGTAGACGCAGTGCACCTGCCCGTGGGTCTCCCGTCGGCTTTCCAACAAGAGACCGCAGCTTCGAGCGACCTGGATCACGCGACCCGCTTTGGTGTGGCTGGGTGGCCAAAGTTTCCTTTGGCAATTCGTAGTTCGCGCGCGTGCGCACACATAGCTGTGCGCCTATCTATGCGTATAGAGACATGTGCCTAGATGTATCTAAGACGCATACGGCGAATCGCCGCCGCCCCCTGACTTTTCAGAATCACCTATGTGACCGACACGTGAGTCCATCTAGCCGCTGTGGAAACCCTTCGGGGAACAGGTGGGGGGGAAGAACGAGGCGGGGCGAGGGAGGAACATTGACGATGCTGATGGTGATGATGATGATGATGCTGATGGTGATATTGATGATGACGATGCTGATTATTCTGATGATGGTGATGATGATGGTGGTGGTGGTGGTTGTGGTGATGATGCTGCTGCTGATGCTGATGATGCTGCTGATGATGATGGTGATGATGATGCTGATGGTGGTGGTGGTGATGACGATGATGATGATGATGATGATGCTGATGATGATGATGATGATGATTATGCTGCTGCTGTTGATGGCGACGACGATGATGATGATGATGACGATGATAATGATGTTGATGATGACGATGTTGCTTACAAGGATGATGTTGATGATGGGGATGATGATGCTGATAGTACTGATGATTCTGATGATGATGGTGATCCTGATGGTGGTGATGACACCGATGCTAACAGTGGTCATGATGATGCTGCTGATGATGATTATGCTGATGATTATGCTGACGATGCTGCAGCTGTTGCTGATTTCTGTTGATTCAGATGGTGACGACGATGTTGATGCTGGTGATCTGACATGATGATGATCCTGATTATGATGATGGTGATGGTGGTGGTGGTGATGATGATGATGATGTTGCCGACGACTCTGATTATGACATTATGGTGATGCTGCTGATGATGATAATGCTGATGCTGATGCTGATTCTGATGATGCTGATGATGAGAATGCTGATACTGATGCTGATGATGACGATGATGCTGATGATACTGATGATGATGGTGGTAATGATGGTGGTGATGATGACGATTATGATGATGATGGTGCTGATGCTGATGCTGCTGCTGATGCTGATGATGGAACTGATGATGATGATTATGATGATGCTGATGATGCAGATGCTGGTGATGGTTATTATGAGATTGGTGATATTGATGACGATGATGGTGATCGCACTGATGATGGTGATAATGATTAGGATGCTGATGCTGATGATTCTGATGATGGTGGTGGTGGTAAATATGATGATGCTATTGATGATGATGATGATGCTGATGATGATGAGGAATATGAAGATGCAGATGATGATGATGCTGAAGACGATGATGCTGATGCTGCTGCTGCTGATGATGTTGATGATGCTGATGATGCTGACGATGTTGATGATGGTGATGATGATGGTGATGGTGCTGGTGATGGTGATGTTGATGGTGATGGTGATGATGCTGATGATGATGATGATGATGACGATGATGATGATGATGATGATGATGATGATGCCGATGCTGATGATGCTGATGATGATGATGCTGATGATGATGATGATTATGATGATGCTGATGCTGATGCTGAAGCTGTTGCTGATGCTGGTGATGCTGACGATGATGGTGATGCTGATGATGGTGCTGCTGCTGATGATGATGATGATTATGGTTGTGGTGGTGGCGATGGTGTAGTGATGGTAGTGATGCGGCTGATGATGCTGATGATGATGATGCTTTTCCAACGACATGAAAGCCAATTAAAAAAGGATTTGATTGCGCATGCCACGCTTGCAACATGTAAGGCTCGTCGCAGAGAGCTGTGACTCTCGAACGCTGCTCGGTGCATGGTGCCTGCGAGGGTGCTTCTACAGCGAGGCCTGGCGGCATGCGGGGGCAACTTAAGAATGCCATTCAGCTGCCACGAGATCTTCGGCCTCGTATTCGTCATAGAGTGGCTCAGGGTCGGCAAGCTGCCCTAGCAGCTGCTCGCCTCCCTCTGAGCTGGGCGGGGCAATGCGGGCAGGGGCGGCACGCGCGGCTGGCAGAAATCCACCACTGACAAATCTGATCGGTGTCTCGTTCACTCGCTGGTCGTCTCGAGCCAATGGCCCACTTCGTCCTCGAGGCAGCCCGCTTGTGCCACCCCTTTGTGGTGAATCGCTACGGCCTCGGCCCGCAAGGCTTTCTGTACGAGAGACGGCCCCTCCCAGCTGGGGGCGCCGACTATGACCTTCATCTTCTTCGAATCGTAGCAGCTCTCTAAGCGCGTATGAAACTCACGGCGCTCTCCAGACTGGCTTTGTCGATGTCGGGCTCCGCCTCCGCCTCTTCTGGGCAGCACTTCAACACGTACGTCTTGATGTCGTTCTTCGCCGCGCCGCCAATGTCGCACATCACCAGGCCCTCTAAGGCCGCCAGCGCTAAGCTGGCTGCGGGCGAGCCGATCTCCTTCGTCCTCTTCTTGCCTACGGCCCCCTGCGTGCGAAGATAATCGAGCAATCCTTTGTACCCCCTCGAGCTCCTCGGTGATCTGGATCACCATGTTGTGATTCGTCGGCATCGTGTATGTGCCTACCGAGACGGAGGAGGCGAGCCAGTTCTTGTGTGCCGTCTGCAGCACGAGTTGGAGTGTCGCCTGGAGCAGCGCCAGTGGGTTCTTGTCCTTGCTGCTCCATGTCTTGACCTGATGCTCGCCTCGGCGGGCTCTCCACCCGCCTCGGTGGTTCAGCTTTCTGCGTCGGTCGCCGTCCTCCTCGCCCTCGTCCTCCTCGGCCGCTGCCGCGGCTCCTCGAGGCGGTGGAGGGCCCGTAAGCCTGGGCTTGGCCGCTGGTGGTGATCCCTCGACTCTCCCCGAGTTTGGCCCAGATCCTCGCGAGACCTGGGAGGAGCTCAGGGGGCGGCGCCACGCAGCCCCCGCGGGGGGTAGAGCCTTCGCCTTCGCCTCGTTCACCACGTCCTCTGGCATCTTCGTGTTGGGGCGCAGCAGGCAGTGGAGGTAGTGTCGGGGTCGCCGCTGCCAGTCGTGTCCGCGCTGGGGCTGGGGCTGCTGTGCCTGCAGCCGACGTTGCTCTGGAGGCACCAGCACTGAGTGGTTTCGCTCGAGCAGGTGCCTTCACGCGAGCTGACAGCAGGAGTCGGTCGGCAGCACGTCTCAGCTCGCGCCCGGCCGCCAGTGTGTCCTCCACGGCACGTGCGAGGCGCGGTGGGGGCGGCACTGTGGAGGGCCCACTCGGATGTTGGGTGGTGGTGCCAAAAGCCTCCCTGCGAGAAACGGCCTCGAGCAACGAACCCGATGGCGACGGAGGAGTGTGGGTAGCTACGTGTTGCCGGTGCTTCTCAGGGTCATACTATTGAGGAATCCATGTGTAATCCACTTGATACTCAGCTATAGGACATGTCGTACATGTTGAAGGTGCCCATGGATATACATGGAGTGTGAGCTCCGCGATACACCTACCAGGTAGCCGTGGTCGTCATAAGTGTCACACAGCGTGATCTACGTTAGGGAATGTCGTATTGCATACAATACATGTGTTGTCATATTCTAGGGTTTTTAATATTTGGGGCTGTCCATGTCCTTCAGCTTTGATTGTAGTTTGATGGTTTACCAACTGTCGTATTGCACCAAACCAAAGACCGCACCCAGGGAGCCCACATCCGAAAGGAAGACTGGAACTCATCGTCACTGTCGGTCTCAGCCTGCTGATTCTGGGGCGGGACGGCCTCAGAGATCGCGTCTCCGTCGGGGGGAGTCCACTGGCATGTCCCGAAGCCTGCGCGTATCGCTCGTATACCACATATAATGCATTCGCCACGAATGTCATCGTCGACCCAAAGTCTTTCAATCGTCCTCGGTTGCCACAGCTCTAGGAGTGATTCGCCAACCGAATGCGATATGAGGCACTCGAGGTCAGCCGAGAGCTGGCGTGCCCATGGATGAGCGTGCTCGTCGATCTCGCCCTGCTCATCGAGGGTGGAGGCAGACACAGGTCGGTTGCTTCTGGCCGCCTGCTTCTCAAAATCACAGATTCCAAACATTCCTGTGAGGATATGGCCATGGTGGCTGACGTTGCTGATAATGCTCTGCCACCATCTGAGACGCCGCGCTAAACATTCGATAACAGTAGGGCCCGCTTGGCACTCTCGAAAGATCTGGAGCGTTGTCGTCGCTCGATGATGGCCATCAGGGTCCTGATGGCGCGCAGCTCCCTTTAGCATGGCTCGTAGTTCTTTTTGCTAGCGTCCAGTCTAGTCGGTGTACCTCACGGGGGCGCAATACGTAGCTCTCGAGGCCAGAGCAGACGCGGCCCGCGACGTTCGACAGGAGCGACAACCTTTTTTTCCAAGGCCCCTTGAAAAACCAGTGGTCACCCAACCGAGTCCACTCTATGTTGCCTGATATGATACGTTCGTGTAGTTCACGCTGTGAGTGTAAAGATACGTGTATATACCCTCCAAAGTGTATGAGTTCTTGGACCGCCTTACCCGAGATACGTCGCTCAGCTTCTGTAGTAGCCGCTCGGCTGGCTAGGCTGACAAGGGTGTCCTGCTTGCTGATGTTATTTGCATGCACCCCGCGTTGTAGTGCTCGGGATAAGCTAGTATTGTCGATCTTATCTAGCAGCAAAGCCTGGTGGGCGGTCCCGTCGGGGACCAGGATAATCTTAAATAAGTCGTCGATGAAGGCACCCAAGTGCCCAGGGAGAACCTGCTCGGTGAATGGGCAAACCACTTGAAAAAGGCATCCCCTGCACTTCAGCCATCTCCTGCTCCCACGCCTCCACTGATGGGTAAACTGATTGCTTGAAAAGCTCGAGTTCGTTTGGGTCCCCCAACCGTCCTCCTGTGCCTTGCCGAAGTGCGAGGGTAGCATCACAGGCCTGAATGAAGACAACTGCTCTGGCACGGTGCTGCTCCAGCAGCGGATGGAAAGGTTCGTCGTCGCATCGCGCCGTGCGTGCAGCAAAAAGTCGGGTATGATCGCCCGTGGCGAAGGCATTGCGCATGTCATAGCCCGTGGCCAGAAAAGACATGTCTGCTGCTCGCAGCTTCCAGATCATCAGTTTCGCGATAAGCATGAGAGCGTCGCGTCGTCTGGGGTAGATGCCTCCGTAGGCCCACCATGGCGCGTCGTACAAGGGTCCATGCTTGGTCAATCCGATTCGAAGATTGAGGCGCCAGAAATGATCCGAACAATGAAATGAAGAAACCGTACAAACTGATGTATATCTTCAGCAGGGCGTTTTGTTGGGACCTTGCCTTTCTTGCCGATCGCAATGGCGTGGCTTGTGTAGGCTTGAGCTGGCAGCTCCGTGGCGTGTCGCAAGTGTCCCAATAGTGTGAGGAAGGCCAATACTACTTTGTAGCACGTGTGATCATCCAGGTGGAGCTGCCGTCGATCGGGATGAGGAAGCTCTTCCGCCAGCGGCTGTATCCGCACAGATTTCTCGGATCCGCGCTGGACCCCCCTCCCTGGCACGCTCCGTGCGCCAGGGGCGGCGCCTCCGGCGCCGCCAGGGGACCCCCAGCGGCGATCCGAGAGATCCGCGCGGACCTCCGAGTTTTCAAGTCTACGCCACTTCTCGTTTCCTCATCCTTATCGCGCATCCTTGTGATGCGGCCTGCTCCCGCCGGCTCGGAGAGAGAACGCCCCCTCGCCGAGCTGTGGGGATTGTCGCTGTCGCCCTGGCGGCAGCAGCACGGCCACGGCACGCGGGTCGACGGCACCGTGCGGCCTCAGTGGGCCCGTCTGCGTGGGCGTCGTCGCCCACGTCGGCACGCCCCTCGCGCGGATCGTGCGCCGCTGGGGCTGCTTCGCCTGCCGGGCTTGCGGCCTCGGGCCTCGCGGTTGTCCTCGCGCGGTGCCCCCCCCCGGCCTCTTCTGGCGCACCCCTCGCGCAGGTGGCGCCCCACAGGGGAGCCTGCAGCCCACGCCCTCCCCACGGGGCGCAGTCTATCGAAGAACAGAACACGGCGCAAACAGGCCCTGGGTTTCTTAAGAAGCGTGGGGGGGGGCGGGTACCCCCCCCGACGGGGGGTCAACCTCGCCTCGTCGTCGCGTCGCGACGGGGGTTGGAGCGCCTTCGGCGCGCGGTGGCGGCCCGCGAGGGGGGTTCGAAGTGGGGCTGTGGGCGGGGCTGACGCCCCCCCGACGCTTATGAAGAAACTCGGAGTAAGCTTTTGGCAGCCCGCGCGGATTTCTTGTATTCACGGTGGGCCCCCTGGCGGCGCCTTCGGCGCCGCCCCTGGCGCGCTCCGCGCGCCAGGCAGGGGGTCCAGCGCAGATCCCAGAAATCTGCTCGGACCGCAACAGTTTATGCTTATTCTTTTTTTTTAAACTCTAGTCTAGGAGGATAGTTCGTCGCCATGCACTACAAGCATCTGCATAGGGGCGGGCCTTTTGCTAAGATGGTTTTGCAGTCACCCGCGCTGTTGTGAAGTTTTTGCTTCGTGCAGTTTGCATCTCAACACTGTGCCTACTCTATCTTCAACGGCTGCGTCTTCACACGCCCATCCCAAGGCACCTAAACGAATTTTGAAGCGACGCGACGCATGCCTTCACATGATGTGCATCGATGTTTCATTCGTATAGCTATGTACGAAGTTCTCTTTGCCTGTGGCAAGTTCCACCACCGTGCCAGCGTAGTACTCTTTGTGGCGAAGCGTCGGAAATCGCCCATAAGACCGTAACATCTGACGCTTAAGAGGCTGTCCTGGGGTCAACCTGGGCCGTCTTGCGGATGTCTTCGGCTTCTGTGGCGCCTTCTTGAGGATCTCTTGGAACCTTTTGTCAGACAACACTTGCCATCATACCACGCTTTAACATGCTTGGTGGCACGGCGACATATAAGGGCACTTGTGTGTATGTGTGTGTGTGTGTGTGTGTGTGTGCGTGTGGGCTTTCGTGTCTTTCTTTCTGTAGTGATTTCTTGACCGCTGCGCGTGGCGCATGTCTCGCGGCAAGCACCAGTCTGCATCTTTTGTCTCAGCTCGTGCCTGGAAAGAAGGCGCGTTGTTGCTGAACTTTTTTGTCTGTGCCCGGGGCTGCTGCTTCCATTTGGCGAGTTCTTCAAGCCCAGTGTAGCTCTACTGGGCATCGCCACGCAGTTCCTTACTCTTACCCTTGATGATTAGTGCTGGGTTGTTGAATATGACGATTGCTCTGAACTCTGCCCTTGATAGTTAATGCCGGATCGTTGAAGGAGATGTGCAGGGACGGCGGAAGCGGCAACACCATGAAGTGCCAGTGCCGCTTTGGCCAGAGCGTCAGTCTTCCGGTTTCGCTACGCCCTGCCATGTTACGGGGAGTAGTCATTCGGCTCATGGCCTACGTGTCTGTCGCAGGCCTAGAGGTTGACACCAACACCAAGATCGGCGGTGTGCCTCCACCGAGGGAAGACGATCCCGATCTCGGTGATGGTGGTATTCTGGCTTCCAAGGCGAACGAAATATTACCACCAACACTGACATCTAGGATCATTTTTCCCATGTGGAGACAACCCCCTGTGCTGGTGTTGGTGCCAATTTCCAGGCCTCCAATAGTCATTCGGCTCATGGCCTACGTGCCTGCGGTCTCTTGTGGCGGACAGCGGCACCTCAGCGTGCACCATGAGTGTTGCCCAGGTATTGACAGCCATTGCCTAACCGGAACGACGGGAGCAGTGTCAGTCTGTGGAATATGTGCAGATATGCAGCCACCAAGCGCCAGATGTGTTTGTTTACGTGACACGTTTACGATATGGGGTCGAACTGCCCCCCCCCCCCCCCCGAATTGCAAGGGGGCGTTTCGAACGGGCCCTCCCAAGGAGGGGGGGGCATTCGAACCAGGGCGGGGCCTCCCCCCCTAAAATAATGAATTGCAAGGCGGTGGGGTGGGGTTCGAACCGGCTCCTCCTCCTCCTCCTCCTCTTCCTCCTCCTCCTCCATTCCTTTTCCTGATAATAACCTCCCTGTCGCACCCCGAGGCCAGTTGACAGGACGGGGCGGGCATCCCCCTTGAGACTTCCTCACCGCTTATGACCCTGAAGCTTGAACATTGGCGACAGTTAATTGGAGTGCGGGCGGTTTCCAAAATGTGGCTTTCGCTTTAGCGCCGCGCGCATTATTGTAAAAATATGGCAACAGTTTCACAATGGAGGGCGGGTGGTTTTCAAAATGTGGCTCTCGCAAAGCACATGCAATAATTTCGCGGATTGAGGGCGGACGGTTTTCAAAATGTGTGTCTCGCCTCAGCGCCGCGCACATTCGTTTTCAAACATTGCAAGGGTTTCATGGATTGAGGGCGGTTCGTTTCTAAATCTAGCTCTCCCTTCAGCGCCGGGCACATTCTTTTTCCCAGCCATCCTGTGGTGTTGGGTCCTCGTTTTGAAGAGACGTCGCCCCGCGTTCTCCTCTCAACTCCTCCTCCTCCACCTCCTTCTCCTCCTCCCACTCCTCCCTCCTGCTCCCTCCTCACCTTTCTCCATGCGTTTCATCTACCCAGTACAACGTTTCGTGGCCCCATATGAGGGAACCCCACCTACGGTCCCAGTGCTACCGTCCGCATGCGTCCCGCACACCCAGTACAGCGTTTCGTGACCCTCCTCCCCTCCCCACCCACTACAGCGTTTCGTGGCCCCATAGGGAGCCCCACCGAAGGTCCCAGTGCTACCGTCCGCATGCGTCCCGCACGCCCAGTACAGCGTTTCGTGTCCCCATAGGGAGCTCCACCGAAGGTCCCAGAGCTACCGTCCGCATGCGTCCCGCACGCCCAGTACAGCGTTTCGTGGCCCTCCTCACCCTCCTCCCTGCGTTTCACACACCCAGTACAGCGCTTCGTGGCCCCAGAGGGAGCCCCATCGAAGGTCCCAGTGCTACCGTCCGCATGTGTCCCGCACACACAGTACAGCGTTTCGTTGCCCCATAGGGAGCTCCACCGAAGGTCCCAGAGCTACCGTCCGCATGCGTCCCGCACATCCAGTACAGCGTTTCGTGGCCCTCCTTCCCCCTCCCTGCGTTTCACCCACCCAGTACAGCGCTTCGTGGCCGCATAGGGAGCCCCACCGAAGATCCCAGTACTACCGTCCGCATGCGTCCCGCACACCCAGTACAGCGTTTCGTGGCTCCAGAGGGAGCTCCACCGAAGGTCCCAGTGCTACCGTCCGCATGCGTCCGCACACCCATACAGCGTTTCGTGGTCCCCCCGTCTCACCCACCAGTACAGTAGCGGGAGCCCCAGAGGGAGCCCCACCGAAGGTCCCGTGCTACCGTCCGCATGCGTCCCGCACACCCAGTATATAGCGTTTCGTGGCCCTCCCCTCCTCCCTGCGCTTCACCCACCCAGTACACGCTCGTGGCCCAGAGGGAGCCCCACCGAAGGTCCCAGTGCTACCGTCCGCATGCGTCCCGCACACCCAGTACAGCGCTTCGTGGCCCCATAGGGAGCTCCACCGAAGGTCCCAGTGCTACCGTCCGCATGCGTCCCGCACACCCAGTACAGCGTTTCGTGGCCCTCCTCACCCTCCTCCCTGCGTTTCACCCACCCAGTGCAGCGTTTCGTTGCCATTGAAGGTCCCAGTGCTACCGTCCGCATACGTCCTGCACGTCCAGTACAGCGTTTCGTGGCCCCATAGGGAGTTCCACCGAAGGCCCCAGTACCCCCGTCCGCATGCGCCCCGGAAACCCACTTTGGCATGTCACCCACCCAGTGCAGCGTTTCGTGGCCCCATCGGGGCTCCACCAACGGCCCCAGTGCCACCGTCCGTATGCGTCCGGGAAATGTAATTTGGCATTTTCATCCGCGCAGTGCAGCGTTTCGTGGCCCCATAAGGGGGGCTCCACCGAAACCCCCAATGGGACCGTCCGCATGCGTCCCGGTAACACAATTTGGCATTTTCACTCACTCAGTAGAGCCCTTCGTGGCCCCATAGGGAGCTCCACCGAAGCCCTCAGTGGGACCGTCCGCATGCGTCCGGGAAACCCCATTCGGCACACCACCCACACAGTACAGCGTTCCCCCCCGCCCAGTGCAGCGCTTCGTGGCCCCATAGGGCTTCACCGAAGCAGATATTCAGAATTACGGTACCCACAACTGTATATGGTTGGGACCTTCGCCTGGATAATTTTCCCAACCATCCTGTGGTGTTGGGTCCTCGTTTTGAAGAGACGTCGCCCCGCGTTCTCCTCTCATCCTCCTCCTCCTCCTCCTCCTCCTCGTCCTCCTCCTCCTCCTCCTCCTCCTCCTCCTCCTCCTCCGTCTCCTCCTCCCACTCCTCCCTCCTCCTCCCTCCTCCCCTTTCTCCTTGCGTTTCATCCACCCAGTACAACGTTTCGTGGCCCCATATTAGGGAGCCCCACCGAAGGTCCCAGTGCTACCGTCCGCATGTTTCCTGCACACCCAGTACAGCGTTTCATGGCCCCATAGGTAGCCCCACCGAAGGTCCCAGTGCTACCGTCCGCATGCGTCCCGCACACCCAGTACAGCGTTTCGTGGCCCTCCTCCCCCTCCTCCCTGCGTTTCACCCACCCAGTACAGCGCTTCGTGGCCCCATAGGGAGCCCCACCGAAGGTCCCAGTGCTACCGTCCGCAAGCGTCCCGCACACCCAGTACAGCGTTTCGTGGCCCCACAGGGAGCTCCACCGAGGGTCCCAGTGCTACCGTCCGCATGCGCCCCGCACACCCAGTACAGCGTTTCGTGGCCCTCCTCCCCCTCCTCCCTGCGTGTCACCCACCCAGTACAGCGTTTCGTGGCCCCATATGGGGGCCCCACCGAAGGTCCCAGTGCTACTGTCCGCATGCGTCCCGCACACCCAGTACAGCGTTTCGTGGCCCCATCGGAAGCCCCACCGAAGGTCCCAGCGCTACCGTCCGCATGCGCCCCGCACACCCAGTACAGCGTTTCGTGGCCCTCCTCCCCCTCCTCCCTGCGTCTCACCCACCCAGTACAGCGTTTCGTGGCCCCATAGGGAGCTCCACCGAAGGCTCCAGTGCCACCGTCCGTATCCGTCCGGGAACTGTAATTTGGCACTGTCACCCACCCAGTGCAGCGTTTCGTGGCCCCAAAGGGGGCTCCACCCAAGGCCCCTGTGCCACCGTCCGTATGCGTCCGGGAAATGTAATTTGGCATTTTCACCCGCGCAGTGCAACGTTTCTTGGCCCCATAGGGGGCTCCACCGAAGCCCCCAGTGGGACCGTCCGCATGCGTCCAGGTAACCCAATTTGGAATTTCCACTCACTCAGTAGAGCGCTTCATGGCCCTATAGGGAGCTCCACCGAAGCCCTCAGTGGGACCGTCCGCATGCGTCTCGGAAACCCAATTCGGCACACCACCCACACAGTACAGCGTTCCCCCCCGCTCACTGCAGCGCTTCGTGGCCCCATAGGGAGCTTCACCGAAGCAGAAGTTCACAATTACGGTACCCACAACTGCATATGGTTGGGATTTTCGCCAGGATAATTTTGTTTCCCCCCATCTTTTCCCCTAAACCCCCAAAAAGAGTTTCGCGGATTCCTGTGGTCGATGTGCCAGACATGGTTTTTTGAAGGATTCAGGGTTGTGAGGGTGCAGCAGTTGTATTGATTCGCGATGTTGACGTCCCAGGAACGGTGTTCTGACGCGGTTCAGGATTGTCGAGACGATCAGTCAGGTTGATCCGTCGAGCATGGTGTTCTGGCATCATTTAGGTTCTTCAAACTGTTGTCTCTCAACGAGGCAGTTCTCTCAGTGGAAATGAATCTTTGCAGGGGCCTATGAAGAGGGAGCTCGGAGGGAGGGTCTATTCCAGCATCATTGATGAGTCTTGGGTTTGCACTGGTCCTCCTCCTCCGCCTCCTCCTCCTCCGCCTTCTTATCCTCCTCCTCCTCCTTCTCCTCCTCCTCCTCCTCCTCCTCCTCCTCCTCCTCCTCCTCCTCCTCCCCCCCTTTCCCTCCCCAGTGGCAACCTTTGACGGCGAGCGCCGGCGCTGGCGCCGGCACCGTCGGGCAGCGACAACAACGTCGATCGAGTCCGAGTAGGATGCTACAAAGGCTGGGTCGAGCCCTCGCAGCTAAGACTCCATGAGAGCTGGATCGACCTCAAGGAGGACTGACTTAGGGCTTGATCTGGTTGTAATCGAACTGTGTTAGAGCTGGATGGAGCTCTAGTATGATTCAGTTGGAGCTGGATCCAGCTATAGTAGGGTACGATAGGAGCTGAATCGAGCCCGACGAGGATATTTCCCAAATTGTTGTTCCAGCTATAGTAGGGTTCGATCAGGGCTGGATTGCGCCCTGGGATTCGATTCCAGCTTGATCAAGCACTCACAGGATTCTATTCGAGGGGGAGGGGGGGTGGTTCGAATTCCCCCCCCCGTTGGACAGGGAACCCCCTCTCCCCTGGGTTCAAAGCCTTTTGGAGGGGGGGCGGCGGTCAGAGAGGCTAGTGTCTTGGGGACGGGGGGCCCTGTTCTCTGGGCGCTTCAATTTTTGTCACAGCCATCCTGTGGTGTCGTGTCTTCGTTTTGAGGAGAGCGCCGCACGTCCCTCCTCCTCCCCTCCTCCCCCTCCACCCTCCTCCCCCTCCTTGCCTATGCCCTCCGCATGTCTCTGTTTCGGCACGCCTCTCACACGTTGCGTGGCCCCATAGGGAGCTCCACCGAAGGCCCAAGTGCCACCGTCCACATGCGTCTCCCACCCATGTCAGCACACCCCTCACACGCTTCGTGGCCCCATCGGGAGCTCCACCGAAAGCACCAGTGCCACCGTCCCCATGCGTCCCCCGCACCTATTTCGGCACACCCCTCACACGTTTCGTGGCCTCATAGGGAGCTTCACCGAAGGCCCAAGTGCCACCGTCCACATGCGTCCCTCACACCCATGTCGGCACACCCCTCACACGTTTCGTGGCCCCATAGGGCTAGGGAGCTCTACCGAATGCCCCAGTGCCACTGTCCACATGCGTCCCCCGCACGCATTTCGGTACATCGTGGCCCCATTTGGAGCTCCACCAATGGCCTAAGTGCCACCATCCACATGCGTTCCCCAAACCCATGTTGGCACACCCCTCACATCTTTCGTGGCCGCACAGGGAGCTCCACCGAAGGCCCAAGTGCCACCGTCCAATTGCGCCCCCCACACCCATTTCGGCACACTCCTCACACGTTTCGTGGCCCCATAGGGAGCTGCACCGAAGGCCCCAGTGCCACTGCCCACATGCGTCCCCCACGCCTATTTCGGCACACCCCTCACGCGTTTCGTGGCCTCATAGGGAGTTCCACCGAATGCCCCAGTGCCACCGTCCACATGCGTCCCCCGCACCAATTTAGACACACCCCTCACATCTTTCGTGGCCGCACAGGGAGCTCCACCGAAGGCCCCAGTGCCACCGTCCAAATGCGTCCCCCACGCCCATGTCGGCACACCCCTCACACGTTTCGTGGCCCCATAGGGAGCTCCACCGAAGGCCCCAGTGCCACCGTCCACATGCGTCCCCAGCACCCATGTCGGTGCATCGTGGCCATATAGCGAGCTCTACCGAAGGCTGCAGTGCCACCGTCCACTTGCGTCCCCCACACCCATTTCGGCTCACCCCTCACACGCTTCGTGGCCCCACAGGGAGCTCCACCGAAGGCTCCAGTGCCTCTGCCGGCATGCGTCCGCCACACCCATTTCGGCACCCCCCTCGCAGGCTTTGTGGCCACATGGGGAGCTCCACCGAAGGCCCAAGTGCCACCGTCCACATGCGTCCGCCGCACCCATTTCGGCACACCCCTCACTGGGTTCGTGGTCCCATAGGAAGCGGCACCGAAGATTTTTTATACGTAGCCCGCCGCAGTTGCGGATAAGAGTGAGGGGGCGACGAGGACGTCGTCAGTCTGCAAGGCTCTGAAGAAGCCCGCCGCAGGCGCCTAACTTTTTACAAATTATGCATTGAGCCCGCCGCAGGCGCCGATTTTTTCGTTAAGGCAATGTGGGTGGATCGCGGGGTGGGTCGCGGGTGGGTCGCGGGGTGGGTCGTGGGGTGGGTCGCGGGGTGGGTCGCGGTTGGGTCGCGGGGTGGGTCGCGGGGTGGGTCGCAGAGTGGGTCGCGGGTGGGTCGCGGGTGGGTCACGGGGTGCGTCGCGGGTGGGTCGCGGGTGGGTCGTGAGGTGTGCCGCGGGGTGTGCCGCGGGGTGGGTCGCGGGTGGGTCGCGGGGTGGGTCGCAGGGGGGACGACAACAAACAACAACAACGCAACAAGCATAATCCTCACCACGGATCCCCACTAGAGCCACGCACCCAGGGGCAATGAATGACCGTTCGGCCCCCTCACTCTTATATAACAAAGGGGGGAGGTTCCGACGTGTCCAGGGATTTGTTCCAAGCAAGCACCCACGAAGCGCGTTCTCTCTTCGATATGGGCACGTGCTAGTTCAGCACTGAGGAGACGCGCGTAATTAACTCCCAAACGAGTTCTGCCTGAAGGGACTTGGGTAAACAGAAGTGAAATGATAAAGAGGGGCTCTAGTTCAATGAACACACGATCACCACGAGCAGCTCCCAGCAAAGGTCAGCTTGGGGTCCTTTGTGGACCTCTTGGAGGCCTCTTGTTGTCATCCTGGGGACTTACTTGAGGTCCTTTGGGGAGCCAGTCAGTCGGGCCCTGCTATGGGCATCATGGGGGCAAGCGGCCAAAGCAGAGGTGGCACTTCCCCCCGGGGGCCCGAGAGCTTGTCTGCTGGGGCCCGGCAGACCCGCCAGCTCTGCGAGACTGCGGAGCCTCCGTGGCGGGACGTATATCGGTATCCCATCTCCGCGACCTGGCGGTCAGGGCCCCTCGGCCGCGACCCCATGGATACACACGGGCTCAGGGCGGATGCCCCGCACAGAACGCACACACAGGATCTCGTGTCTACGGGCTCGCGACTCGGCGTCCCGACAGCCAAGGCACGGATGTGGACGCGTTCGTCGCTCGTGGGAGCTATCTCTGCCCTGTGTTGATTGCATCCTCGTTCTGCCTTAACCCTAGGCTCTCTTGTAGTGCCCTCCACGGTGACCTGCACTGGTGGCCGAGATGCTGGACTGTATATAATATGCTGGCTGGGCGTGGCTGCCGACCCGCCCGCCAGGCACGCGCGCGGAAGCTCTCCACGGCGAGGGGTGCTCGGCAGAAACGGGCGGCACGCGAGCTTCGAGTACAGCCAAAACGCTCGAGGGGGGAACACTTGGCCCCTTCCTTGGCTTTTCTCCCTCGGGCGCTCCTCGCAGATCGAGGCGCCGCTGGGGCGAAAGGGGGGCCCCGTGCTCTCTGCGCAGGGCTCCCCCGCGCGTAATGAGCGTGCCGTCTCCCTCCGTCCTCTTCCAGGCCCGTCCACCTCTGGCCCCCCACGGCCCCTCCCGCTGCCCCCTCCGCCCGCCGCCACCCTCTCCCGAAAAACACGCACGGCATAGACACGCATTCTCCATGGTCCGCGCAGATCTCCTGGATCGGCGCTGGGCTCCCCCTGTCGACGCCTCCTGCGCCGCCCCCAGCGCGCTCCGCGAGCCAGGGAGGGCGGTCCAGCTCCGATCCAAGAAACAGGCGCGGAGTTCCGACAGTTTGTTATGCCGTTTTTTGTTTCCCTTCTCTTCAGTCGGGCGTGTCCCCCTACAGGAGGAACATTGAAGAACAGTTCAACAACTAGTATGGGGACGATGTGTGTTGAGTATGTTTAAAGATATTGTCGAGTTTTTGTTGGGTATTATTTTGTCTTTCGTCCACATTCCGCCTGTAGGGGGACACGCCCGACCTAACTCACTCTTCCCTCGCTTCACCCTTCGCCGCCCTTTCTCCTCCCACACTCCGGGGCAGTGGATGGGTCCTGGGACAACTCTTCCTTGCGATCAGCCCGTCCAGCAGAGGAGCTTCGAGGACTGAAGGAGGGAGGGCGAGACTCAGTCTTGTTGACGCCCCCCCCCAGGCCCAACATCAGGTCGGGCGTGTCCCCCCCACAGGCGGGTTTTGGAAATACACATAAAAGTAATACCCCAAGCAAACTCAAACATATTCAAAGCAAGTATAACATTCTCCTATCCTGGATTAATTTTTGAACAGTCCTCCTGCATAGGACGCGCCCGACCTCAGCCCAGCAAGAGCCCCTGGAGGCCGAACGTGATCCCAGAGTCGGCCGCGCGCCCAAGGGGGAAGGCAGAGGGGGCGGGCCTTCCCAGAGGGCTTAGAAGGCCCTCGGCTTTCCGAGACGCTTTCTGAGCTTGCGTCGGGCCTGTCCCTCTACAGGGTGAATATCCAAACAGTCGAACCATAGCCAGGTGACGATTTTTTGACAATTTTTGGGCTGGGGCTGGGGATGGGGTGGCTCGGGAGGGAGCTGCAGTGGAAGGGATGGGCTGGCACGGATGCCACCGACAGTTTTTGGCCGTCCCGGCGGTCCGCACATCGCGTCCCGCCTGCCGCTTGCCTCCCCCCCCGCGCGGGGGTCGACGGACACCTGGTCCTCCCCCGCCGCGCTGCTCATCCAATGCAGTCTTCAGCTGTGCCCTCCTGCCACCTGAGCGGCGCATGCCGCTCGCTCCCGCCCCATCGGCTCTTCCCCCTCCTCCGCCTCCTCCGGAGGAGGAGGAGGCCTGTCCTCCGCTCCTTCACGCCACCGCGGCGGCGCGGGCGGCGGTCCCCGCCTGGTGGCACGGCACTTCCTCGGTGTCTGGCGCTTCGGGTATGGTCTGTTGGGCGCCTGCATGCTGTGGCTTTCCGTCGCAGTGGTGACCTCGCTGTCTTACGCTCCGCGGTCCGACGGCTCGTCGTGGACTCGCTGCTCGTCCAGTTGGAGGTCTTCTACGTGGACGCGGCGCTGCCCTCGAGTTGCACCATCCTGGTGCTGCTCTTCCAGGTGTGCGCCGTCTTTTGAGCGGCAGCGAGGCTCGCCTCCTGTTTGACCCCCCCCCTCCCCGCTTGGTCTTTTCTCTTCGCGTTCGTCCTCTCCCTTTGTTTGCCTTTCTCCTCCTGTGCGCTAATTTAGGGCGATGGTTCTGTGGTTCGTTCCTTTACGCCGCCCGACCTGTGTCGCCGTGGTCGCGATCAAAAAGCCTCACCGAATCTGTACCTGCGTCACTAAATTTGCACCTCAGTGGGCACGCCCTGCGTTACCTGGTGCCGCAGTCTCGATTGACGTGACTCTGATGCTGATTTGTGATGCCTCCCGTGCCATTTTGGCCGCGTTGAGCCCAGGTCCGCTCGGAGCTGGGCGCCGCTCGCTTCGCTGTTTTCCCCTTGGCTTCGGCGCGGGCCGCCCCGGCTTGTTCGGCGTTCGACTCGTCTTCGCGCGCCCGCGTGCCCAAACGTATCCCCGCCGTGCTATCCAGGAACATTTATCAGCCGATTTGTCGTGAGAAGGGACCAGGGGGCGCATGCGTGGAAGCCGACCGAGGGACTTGTGTGGGCTTTCGAGGCGTTTTGGAATCATCTAGGTGCACGTATTGGAGCAATCGTGCGAGCTTTTGGGGCCTTGTCGGGATACTCCTGGGACCCCCCTGGGAGTTGAATGGTTTTCTTGAGGCCATCCTGCTGGCAATGAAGAAATCAGAGTTTTGTTTGTTTGTTTGTTTGGTTTTCCCCCATTCATCTTCTTTCTTTGGATGCGGTTTGTATGTTTGCGGTTAAACAGATTGACTGTTTGGGTTCTGTTGCGCCCTTAGAAGTAAAAGTCACGCATCACCGGAAAACGTGAGTCGTTTGACGATTTTGGCATATCGGGGCATCTCCGGGAGGCTCGATGGCCACCTTGGGCTCACCTTTGGGCTTTTTGCGAGGTGTGCTGCACGTCCTCTTGAACCAAGTTGGGCAAGTCTGTGTGGTCTCGGAGGCATTCTTGGCCTGCTTGCCGTCATTTTGGGGCCATTGTGTGCAATCTTGGACGTTGCTACCCGTGCGACCTCCCCATTCCAACCCCAGTGGGATACGGGGATAACATATCCTTCCCCGAAGGGGAAGAGGAGCTTGTTTTGGAAAGGGTTCGTACCCTATTCCACCTGCAACCACACGGCATCATTCATCCGCTGGAGGATATAGATGTTTACGTACGTTGGTTTCGATGCGTGTGTGTGTGTGTGGGCACATTTTCGGAGGTTCGTATACCTCCTACTCTAGCACGTCGATGAACGAATTGGCCGTTTTCGGTTCGCGAGAGGGCGTCGTGGCTGTCATTTTTGCTGGTCAAGGTCCGTCGGTTTCGGTTGTAGGCCGTTTTCATCAAAAGGGTGGTTTATTACAGGGAGGTTGCCCGCCGCCCACATTTTTTTTTTCGTGGAGCGAGTGAATGAAAATAAGGGCATGGTGCGAGCATCTCCGCGGCACGCCGCGGTAGCAAACCTCTTGACAGCGAGGGCAGACAGGAGGGGAACCGACCCCAAGCAGGTCCCGTGGCCGCGGACGCGTCGGACAAGTATCGGGACGGGGTCCCGTGGCGTACGTGAGCGATCGGAGTTTTTCGTCCCTATCTTCAGGCGCGCTTGAACACAAGTGTGCACCGTCGTTTTTTGATTCGTTGTTTTGCCGATCGGCGCGGGCCCGCTACCCCTCCTCTCCCCCCCCTCCCCTTGAGGTGGATCTTGGTTGTTTTTTGGCGCCTGTTTCGAGCAGGTGGGGTCCCTCTCCCATAGGACGCACTGTCGCAAACAGTCGCACTGAGCAGAGGTCCGGAGCTGGACCGCCCCCCTCCCCCCCTTTCCGCCCAATGTCGAAACGCTGGAAAAAAAGCTCACCACACAATCAGGACGGGGTCGTTTGGCGTATCAGAGTGATCGGAGCTTATTGTTCGGCCACGCGCAGAGGGGGGTCCGGGGGGCAAGGGGGGCTTCCTAGAAACATCCCTGCTTCTTAGAAGGCGCGGGCCTTCTCTATAGATGTAAGGCCCGCGCCTTCTAAGAAGCAACGTCCTTCTAAGAAACTTTCCCCCGTCCCGCCACCCCATTCTGCGCGCCGACTAGTTGTGCTTATTTTCAGGCGCGTTTAAACACACGTGTGCATCGCTTCCATGGCATCGAGACCTTCCTCTGAGGCCCGAGGATGGCCATATATCTGGTGTTTCTTTCCCCAATACTGCCGCCCAGCGAAGAGGACTCTGGGAAAGGGAGGAGGGATATCTTGGTCGTCCTCGATATAATGACCTGTGAGTCCCGTCATGTAGTGCAAGGACAGCGCAAGAAGGGTGACCGCCGAGAAGTGGTGCTTCACCTCTCGTGGCGATTCGGACAGAGATGACAAGGCGTTTTGTTTCGGCACGTGTTGCAGTTGGCAAAGCAAGTTGCTTGAAAACCTGAAAGAGCGAGTGACCAGTACAACGGCGCTCACGTCTGAACACACCATCCGACGCCCGACGTTGCGTGCAATGCGAACGCGGCATGGTACAGTGCTGCAGTGAATTGTCATGAGTCGTGCTCCCCTCGCAGTGCACGGTCTCTGTACACGTCTGTGTTTTGCCTGGCTGGCTCGCGTGGAGCTGGCGTCGCCCAGGCGGGAGCGCAGACGGTGCACATGTTTGCTCCCGGCAGCCACGGCCTGCGAGGATGACCGCACTCCCTGCAAACAGGCTGAGGCATCCCAGAACTGACAAACTAACAGCACACACCCATACCCATAGGGGGGTCGAAGAGGGCTATGGGTGCGTGCTGTCGGATGGGGGTCCCCGCTCGAACGGGAGCGTTCCCCAGGGTCCGACAACCCGCACCCATACCCATAGCCAAACATCCTCCCAACGACCTCCCTATGGGTATGGGTGTGTGTGTGTGTGTTGTTAGTTCGTCAAGAACGGGCCTCGTCTTCGAACCGTCGGCCATCGTGAGGAGGCTCACGATGCGGGCGGCGCCACGAGCTGAGCTCACTGCTGTGGACGTGCCTCCGAGAGCCCCTGGGACTCCTCGAGGCCGTCGGGAGCCCCGCAGAACCCCGAGCAACGACGGCCTGAACCTTTCAACTGGGGATGGTTGGAAGAAAAAGAACGGGCCTCGTCTTTGATTGGGTAACAAAAAGTGACATAAACATAAAAACTCGGAGGTCCGCGGGGACCTCCGAGTTTGTATGTTTATGCCATTGTTCATTCCCCTAACGTACGGGAGCCTTGCATGTCCTTCTAGTTCCACTTCTGGAGTGCATTCACGTGCGCTCGCGTCTGGCAATCTATGAGAAATCGCCGAGATGTTGCTTCAGTTGGCGTCGATTGACGTCGGCCAGCGTCAGCTTGCGCCGAGTTTTTATGTTTATGTAACTTTTTGTTCCCCTGTTGGAGGATGGAATGCGTTTGGTTGGCATCTCGTCTCCGCCGGAGGGTGGCGGCAGGACGGCGCAGGCCGGCGGAGGTGCAGCGAGGGCGTCATTTCCGCCGGC